GATACGACTAAACCCTTCTGATACGACGAAAGTCGAAACTGTCGAAACTATATTAAAAATAGTAAAGGGTATGACGAAATTATTATGAGGCGTTTTCGGCAGGCATCTATAGTTGGATCTCGAGGTACTATTTCTTACATATACAAAGGAACAAGATAATTTTTTGCTTTGGTAGCATTCTTGGAGTCAGATCGCCGTATATGCAAAAAAAAAAAAATTCGTTGAGATTCGATTCTCGAGAATCGAAATAGATCGGAGGCGAAACATACGCAAAATTTTTGTTAAATAAAATTTGGAAACTTTATTTATTGCTATATTTCCATAAAAATTAATGTCATACAATTTAAATTGTTTCTTTGACAAACAATGGTTTCAAATGATTAAAATAGTATATCAGTCTCGGACCGGACTTATGAACCAAAAAAGGACTAAAAAAAAGGACTGGAGATTAATAAAATCAGAACCGATCAAAAAGCTGGTTCAAAGTCCTATACCGGCACGACAATTGAGTAAATTTTGCAGTCAAGCGTAAATATTATAAAATTTTCAAATAAAATAATTTAAAGCAAACACTTTATAAACCAATGATTTACATTGCATTGCGTCAAGAAATCATTAAGTTAACCAAAGTTGTATCATTTTCAAAATTTTCGGACGTCTCATTTGTGAGTTGCGGATTATTAATAACTGAAGATCGTCAATGAATCATGATTATTTTAAATAAAAATAAAAGGAAATATGATAAATCATGAAAAAAATACCTTTTCCATCTTCGCTATCGTTTTCATCACTCTTTTGTATCCTAAGTAACTTTTTTTTGAACTCTAGATGAACTTGTTCGATATTAGGTCTTTTTTCTGGATTTGTATCCCAACAGGAAGTATAAAGTTCACAATAATCATGTGGAGTATCCGGAATTTTTTCTTCTCTCACTCCACTAATAATTCTTAAAGATAATGTTGGATAACAGGAATCATTTGAAAATGGTGGTTTACCACTTGATATCTCCCAAAATAAAACTCCAAGACTATAAATATCAGTTTTAATAGAATATGATGGAGATTGTAATAACTCTGGCGCTAGATATGGAATAATTCCCATAACATCATTGAGGATGTTTGTTTGTGTATCAAGACTTTTAGAATTTCCAAAATCAGTTATCTTCGCACTTTCTTGATGTATCACAACGTTTTTTGAATGCTAAGTAATAAATTTATTAATTGATTAACCTTATTTGATTTTTATAGACAAAATTAAGATATAACTTACAAGATCCCTATGTAAAACGTTAATCCCATGTAAATATTGTAATCCGTTTGTAATATCAAAGGCAAGTTGTAACTTTTTATCCCACTCGAGAGTTTGAAAATTTTTTTTTAGATATGATCGCAAGTCACCACCATCAGCATATTCCATAACAATACAATAAATGTTACTTTCTGGTTCTATTAATTAAAAAGAATCAAATTAATTCTTAAACTATATAATGAAATTTACTAATATTTAACATACCTTGCGTAATTCCTAAAAAGCGAATAATATTGTCACAAACATGTCCTCTAATTTGTAATTTTATTTCATGCTCAATTGCATTAATGTCATCTAGAATTTGTCTCTTACAAACAACATCTTTGTTCATTTTCTTCCAATGTGTTTTATATACCACTTCAAACTTACCCGAACCAACTGGCGATTTACCAACTAAATCATTCCACTTTATTTCTGTGATAAATTTTTTTTTAATAAAATCTTTTATCCAAAGTTGTGACGATAATTCATCATATTTGGATATATTAGTTGTTGATTTACTTTGCTCCAATTGATTAAGTGGTACTTTCAAGTTAGGAGAATTTCCTGTTGGTTTCTTTATAATTAATTTATAAAGGTCTTGTAGTATG